ATATATATATATATATAAATTAATGTTAATTATTATCATACACGTAAATAAATAATTAAATTGTATAAAAAATTCATTTCACATAAACAGTTTTTTTAAATATCTTTTATATTCACTGATTTTCAAATATCATTTCTACAATATTTATAAAGCATTTCAAAATAACGTACAACGCATGTTTAACTGTGACTAGTTTTAAAAAGGACCATTACCGCCCCGAATGTACCCTTTTCCACTCTATAAAAGAAAAACACAGATTGAAAATGAAAAAACTTTCTATAAAATAAATACTTTTATTTTAATTCTTACTTTGTTATCATTTAAACTGTCAATTTCAATATAGTTGAAATGTGGATCTACCTACCTGTCTTAATCACACTTCCAAATAGTTATTTACTTTTGGACCACAATAAGTTTATAATAAATACTATAATACTATGTTATTGGACCTAGGTTAGGGTTGTATTTTTTTATTACTGAAATTACATATTTTATTTATTATGATTAATTGGCCAATGGTTCACATGAGAAAATTGTTGCTCGACTTGAGTTCGTTATCGGCCTTGAGCACAAGCCTACTAGCTAGTGAGGTAAGCCAAGTCGTTAAACAGTTCGCTCCACTTAACATCCCCATCTTAAATTTTTATGGAACTATAATGAGCTCCTTTGGTTGAGGTTAAAGAAATTTCTTTATAAATAATTTATATTTAACAAAAAAAAAAATTTAAAAAGAGATTATCATTTTTCTTAAATAAAATATCACTATTTCACCAAATGATTTCAAAATTAATTCAAGTATTAAAGAGAATTTTTATTTCTTTAATTTTTCTTATAATTTTAATTTGTTATTACATGTAGACTGTATTTATTTTTTAATCTTAGACATGATACATATCCTCAATTTAGTTTAGGCTCAGTTTGGCAAATTTATAATTATTTATAAAGAGAAATGATAATAAATCTCACTAAATATGTGAATAATATAATTATAATATAAATATATTATTAAAATTAATTTTTAATTTTGATTAAATTTATAAATCATCTATAAATTGGTCGGCAAATGAAGACACAATAACCACCACTCTTGGGCTGTACCATTCATCATTCATTTTTGAAGGAAGCTTCCGGTTTAACAACCGACAATTACACGTATTTCTCCGTTTTCACGTTACACTCAGCATTGATCTTTTTGGCCGTAATCGTCACTGAATTTAAATATAATTTCAAGGATTAATCTACTTTACTAGAAGAAAAATCACGTAAAGGTTGACAGATTTGTATGTGACAGTAGATAATTGAATGAAAAAGTTGACAGTTTTTAAATTATCCAATGATATGATGTCATATGTCATTATATTAAGGATTATGTGAAAGCATTAGACACGATAGCATGATCGTAATTTCAACTCAATTGGAGAATATTTGATAAAATAAGTTATGCTAATTAAAAATTACGTTGATAATTATAGTTGACAAGAAATTAATCTAGACGTAAATTTAATTTACTTTTAATTGCTTGTTTTGTAGTTCTGTTTATTATTTATTAGTTGTGAGTTATATGAAATGTGCGTGTTAAGTTTCTTCAGCTATTTAAAGTCGTGCTTCCAAAATTTGAAGAAAAGCGTGTTCCTAAAACTCGTTTATCTTAATGGATATTTTTAATTAGATTGTGACGCTGGCTCCTCCGTGGCTGTTGGATTAACTTCTTGATGGTTCTGGCCTTATATTTCGTTTGGAGGTTGCTGACTCTTCACTGGTTCAAGACTTTTGTGTTTTTGAGATATCTCTTCCTTCGTTTTTAGGGTTTCTCATTCTTGGTTCATACTTGCGAGAAAATCTCTTCGAAGCACCAAAATACTTTAGATCGTTAGCCTATTTTGTTGTTCTAAGTGATATGAGTGAAGAATTTGTGTGATTCTTTTGGGCCGTACATTTTTGTAAAGGGTCTGAGTATTTTGTTGTGAGTTCTTAGTGGCTGGTGTTTTAATCCGGAGTTTTCTTTGAAGATAAATATTTATGTAACTTGATCTTTGTAAATCTGGAACCTATTGTATCTTGGCTACCATTTTTGGCTTTATAGTGCCCGAGCTTTATACATTTACAAATGGATGCTCAATATGGAAGTAAGCGTTAGAAGCGGTCGTCGAACCTTCGGGGTTGCGACCAGGGGTGCAGCCAAGTATAGTCCAGTGTGGGCACAGGCCCACACTGAACTTTGGGCTTGAAATTTTTTTTTTTTTAGTTATAAGTTAATTTCCAGCCCAAGAAGGAAGGCCCATCCCAATCCAAAAAATGTAAAAACCTTCCCAGTTCCCACCCCGTCTATAATTTGCTCCATTTCATTCCCAAATCCCACCCGCTTCTCCATTTGCACCTCCGGCTCCGCGGCCCCTCCACGCCCCTCAAGGAAACTTTTCCACCCAGGTACTTGCTTTTATTTCGTGATGGTTATATCCATAAGGTCTTTCCATTGATGAGATTTGGCAATTAAGATACTCCATCAAGCCTGCTACCTAACAAGGATTAGGCTTCTCTTCTCAAGGACAGTTTCCATTTCTTCAACCCTTTGATATAATAGTCTTCTCCTTTAGCAGTCCAGTACATACACTATGATCTTAATTGTACCCAAAAATTTCATGTTTATCAACAGAGTCCTAAAGATTGATATAATCTGGACAAGATCTTCAAATACAAATCTATGTTGTTTCAATTTATGTTATTTCA